GTATCGGTTTCGAAACTTCGGAGACTATAAAAAAAAAACGATCAAATTCGAAAAACATTTATAAGTCGCCAAAATAAAAAAAAATAAAAAAACCTCCATTGACTTGCCGAAAACACATGTATTGTAAGTTTAACACATGTATTGTACTCTATTTTAATTACTGTACCGACTTTCTTCATTACTAGTATTCACAGGGAACTGCTACAAGGCACTTATAATACCATATAATTTAAAGAATAAATAACGATATTGCATGTATCCTTTGAAAATGCACACATTAACCCGGACCGCCGAGAATTGGTTTCCATTATTAAAGAGTGGATTACAAAAATGTGCTTCAAATTTGTTATTATATTTTGGCAGGCACCGACACGGGCTTGTCGCGATAATTTCGGGTGAAAAAAATTGAAGCGGTAAGCGGGAAATGTCACATTGGTTCCGTAGAATGATGCAAACGGAACTACAACAATCTTTAAAATATGTTACAAAATAATTACGAGAAATCAATTGTTTCGTAACAAAAAATATTTACGAAACTATTGATTTCTTGTATTTACGCGAATATTACATATGGTCAAATGAAAGTGTTTTACAGATTTTACCGCGTTTTATTTTGATATTAATCCCGATGTTTCGAACATTTCACAGCGTCTGCCCCGTGAAACTACCACTCCCCGTGGAGTCCCACAACTTCCGTGGAGTTGCCATGGCCTTGCCAATGTTTAGGAGGACAAGTCTAATTTTTAATTTTCGATTCAATAACATATATTTAACTAGAGACCCAATTGTTAATAAACCGTCTTCGTTAATCACTCTAACGAGTAATAAAACCCACATCAAGATTCCTTGCGTAGTTTTAAAGATCTAACCATGCATAGGGACAGACAGACATCGGGACAACTTCGTTTTATACTATGTAATGATTGTTGAATTCGACGTTTTTAGAACACAGCGTCCAAATGTCACAATTACCGTTGGCAGCCGTTGCAATTTTTCGCTTTGGTTACGCATTCTGCATAATCCTATATACCTACTTAATATAGGAAACAATTGAATTATTGATGTATGGATTGGATCAAAATCCGTAAATTAGTTTTATTCAAGAAGAAGAAAGTTTTATAAAACACTCACACTCACGTAAATCTGTCATAATTTCCCGAAGCCACTGCGGTGTTTATTATCCGGGGATCCCCAAAATGTGTGTACAAACAAAATGTAACGAACAATAAAGTAATCCTTCCCCACGCCGCGTTGCCACTGTTAATATTTATTTGGTTGTATCCGCTGGGCGGTTATTATGGAAACTTTAATAACCGCTAATAGTGGGCTGTCTGCGTTTGTGTGCCGCCGCAGGCGGTCGCTAGCTTGCAGTGCGTGCTCTACCACGCTTGAGAACGCATTGAATGTATATCACATGGCTTCCTAATCGTGGGTCTTTAAATATATTATTATAAGTCGCATCACATCTGCAAATTAATAAATTTCATAGCGTTTACCAAGCTTTTGATTTTTTTTTAAATTTCTATATATAAAAAGAAATTTATTTCCAAACGAATTCTCTAAGTATTTATTCTTCGGTCAGGGCTGGGGCGGCATCAGAGCCAGCTGAAGGTAAGCTAAGTAAATGGCAATGAGTCTCAATGTTTAGATTATGTATTTGTGCAATTTGCTGTTGAAACTTCGGGTCCATGGGGTCCCCACACATCAATTTTTTTTAAAGTATTATGTCCTAGGCTTAACGCCGCGGCTGGTGACAAGAGAGCTGGTTCTTTTCTCGCTCAAAGGTTAAGCATAACTATTCAGCGAGATGCAGCTAGCTGCTACCTATTTAAAAGTATATGCTATCTAATGAACTACCATGCCGCGTGGTTTATTAGATAGCATGTACTTTTAAATAGATTTAATCTTGTAAATACTTAAAAAGAAATCAAATTTAAATATCTCTATTCAATATAGAAACATTATGCTCACTTATTGGTTTCAAAATATTACTAAGGGAGAAAATCCTGAGGAGAACCGACGAAAGAAACTTAGCGAGACCTTTTAAAGAAGTCGAAGTTAAAATAGCCTAGCCCACATCTAGCGGACTTAGACAAGCGTATAATTCTGATTAAGAAGTTAAGCTGATACTAGGTGATTTCTGGTACCGGTGGAAATCTTAAACAACCTTTGGTATGCAGATGCGTATAATGGAATAAACTCCGGTTACCTAGTACCAGTACAACACATAATATAATGTTTCCACTTCTCGCCAGTCTTCTTTGCTCCCGTGATACTTCCCTGGACGACCGCGCCAATTCTTACAACAGCAGAAGATGCTGCATTGCTTTCTATAATATATCTTACTTACAGCTTACTGTCAACCCTAAATCCTTTATGTTCATTCATTACTTTACTCTACATGACTTTAACTGTGGTAGGACCACGCAACAGTGGTCACTGTTGCACGAATGGGCAGGTCCGTCCGGGTTAGTACCACGACCTCACAGAAGACCGGCGTAAAGTAGAAGTGTTACACTTCTTTTTTTTTTTTATTGGAATAAAAGCAGCAAACGAGCAGGAGGCTCACCTGATGGTAAGTGATCACCGCCGCCCATGGACATCTGCATCACCCGAGGGCTTACAAATGCGTTGCCGGCCTGTGTTTCGTCTGGTGATTGAGGTTGCCGGGGCCCACTTTACACTTTGTCAAAGTGTAAAGTGGGCTATAACGGTTCTGGTATACTAAGCAATTCATTTGGTAAACATCGCGACCATTTTTAAAGTTCCATACCCAAAGGGTAAAATTACTATTACCTACCCTATTACTAAGACTCCACTGTCTGTCTGTCTGTCCGTCTGTCACCAGGCTGTATCTCATTAACAGTGAATGTAAGACAGTTGAAATATTCACAGATGATGTATTTCTGTTGCCGCTATAACAACAAATACTAAAAAAAACAGAAAAAAAAATATTTAAGTTTTTTTTATAGATAACTAGCGGGTGCAATGTATTATACATATAAACCTTCCCCTTGAATCACTCTATATAGTAATAAAAACCGCATCAAGATCCGTTGCGTAGTTTTAAAGATCTAAGCATACATAGGGACAGACAGACAGTGGAACGACTTTGTTTTATGTAGAGGTAGTACGGAACCAATCATGCGCGAGTTCGACTCGCACTTGGCCGATTTTTTTTTCCCGATGCTCGCCCAATTTCACGAAGGAAGCGGCCGCGTTCAAAGGCGACCCGTTCCACGCATCCAGAGTCTCCCGGCCGCCTTTGTCGCGTACCCGCCTTCCTCCGTGGCCACAATTCCGCACGCAAAATATCATTTCGCGGCCGCTTTGTGTTTGCCACAAACGCGGCCCCCCATTGTGTAACCGATACGTCACCATTCAAGTAAACCTTTTTTGCGTTTACACCGTTCCCCACAAAGCAATGGCATTTGCAAGAGAGAAAAACGACAATTACAATGTAATGATGCCAGTAGGTCAATCGCAGCTGCTTTAACTACGTTTTTATTGTGTAAATAATGAATCGTTTCGAAGCTTAAACGATCTCTAGTTCTGTTATTTTTTTTGAAGTTTACTTCTTTTGTCGCGTTTGGAAATAATTATGGGCGCGAATAAGCGTCAGGCCGCGAATGCCGAAGACGTGGGTTCGATTCCCACAGCGGCGACAATCTTTTCGTACTTTTTCTACATGTTTTAATGTTCAATCTTAAGTGCAGAGATTAGCACTAAAAAAAAACTTAAAAAATATTAATAATTATGGGAGTAAAATGTTCACGAAGCGCGCGTACACTGACAGCCAAAAAGCGCGCGTTGCTTGCAAATCGACCAACTTCACAATCATACCATGGCAACCAATAACATCTTTTTGAAATTTAACTATAACTCCGATTTATTTAATTAAACCGTTATCAATTGCATCTAATGTCTTCTCACAAACAAATAATACTTAATAATTGTAATCAAAAATGTTGTTGTTACCAATCACCCAAACATAGTGGTGCGAGGAAGAAGCAATTAAAATAAGAAAACAACAATCGAACATAATTTTCCGTACTAATAGAATGCACCAGAGGTACGTTAGGCAGAAGTTTAGAAGATAATCCTAAAGTTATCTCATGGTGGGATGGATTACACCCCAGCGTCGCACAATCTCATTGTTGCTGGCCATTTAAATCCTTTTCTTCGGCCACCCACCATGTTGGTGTCTTCGCATACCAAGTAAAATCAACCGAAAGTCTTTGTAATAAGGTGTTAAATTAATTAGCAAGGGTAGGTAAAGATCGTCTGGAGAGGATACACGAATGAACGCTTTATTAGGTACGATATTGGTAAATATTTTTGTCATTAACACGACTATTTGGGCGGTGTCATCACTGGCCGTGGTTCCGGCCGCTTGCTTTGTACGCGGCGTATTCATTTCAATACATTCGGGGACTGTACTCTGCACTGGCTTTGCACACGGATTTGCTCATATTTTTAATTGCGCCAGTTATAGATACACACATGCTTTATGCAAACAGAAGCAAGCTTGCTCCTTCGATTAATCTTTGTGGCGTATTTTTTAAATCGTTTTACGATAATTTTAAAATTTAAGAGACCATCTGTATTTACAGTTAAGTTTACCGCCGGTCATGGGCCGACATAATTCTTTTTCAGTAGCGGGGATCGAACCCACGACCTCTGGCGCAAGAGGGAGATTTACACCAATCGAGTATTCAAATAATGACAAACTGTTTCATTACATACAAGGAGGGTAGGTGTGACATAAGTAACACATGTTAGAAACAGTCTCTATATTTTTAATTTAAAATAATAGTAATATTTGAGTTTAAAACATTTTTATTTACATATATAATGAACATTTGAGTGATAGTACCAACCGGCAAGATAGAATCCTCTAACATTCACTTGTTAACATAAACATTCACTAGTGATTATCTGACAGCATGGATTCACTAAAACAGTCATTTTCTGCAATGTTTGAGATGTTCTATGCAAAAATGGACGAATTTCAGCGTGATTTGGAAAAGAACTCTGCTAGCAAGACATCTGCAACAACTTCATCGATAGCATCTGATTTTGTGTCCTTCAAAACTTTTATTGTAACCGCATTAAACACCCTGCAGCAACAAATGGAGTTTCTTAGACTGGAAATGGATCGTCAGGAGATGCGAAGGAGGCGTAAGATCTTGCTCTTCCATGGAATTCCCGAGGTGAAATCAGAAGACCTTATCGGTCGTGTAACCACAGCTGTTGCTGAACATCTGAATCTGCCTAATTTTTCAAGTACCAGCATAAAGTCCAGCAATCGTCTTGGCCGCACATCGGAAAGCAGAGCTAGGCCGGTAGTTGTAAAGTTCGCCGAAGTTTCTGTCCGTGACAAAGTGTGGTTCGCAAAAACTAAGTTTAAGGGTACTGGCATCACACAGTCGGAGTTCCTAACGCAGCCTCGACACAGTGTATTTCTTGAGGCTCGGAAGCGTTTTGGCGTGACAAATTAATTGCTGGACTCGCGATGGATGCATATACGTAATTAGCTCGGATGGAGTTCGCCATCGAGTAGAATCTTTAAACGAGCTTGATGTTATAAATGTTGCATCGTCTTCGTCTAAGCCTCTTGCAGCGAATTCACCAGTACAGATATTAGAATCTTGTTCTAAGAGCCCAAATACTAAGACTATTGTTATGCGCCCCAAGCGAGTAATTAAGAAGTAGTTTATTGCGGTAATGTGAATTTGTCCTTTACTTAAAACATTCTTCTCATTATGATCATTGCACTGTTTAACTTCTTTTTGTTATATTTTATTGTAATGTATTGTTTTAGTTTTAAGGTTAAGTACTTTTAATTTTAAAGCAATGTCAATTGTCAACTTGATATGACATTTTATATTATTATATTCTAACGGATTGGGACTTCTCCATACAGCCTATTATTATATTGGATTGGGATTTCTTCATTCATCCTATTCATTATTCATAGGTTCGTTGTAGAATATTATCTTTCACTATACATATGTATGTTATAGTGAAGTTTATTAGGATTTTTTTCTATATATTTTTTCTAATCGTGTTATGATGACCTTGAATTTTATTTTTCTTTGCTGGCAATGTGTATACTTCGATTGAATGTGTAAAAACTAAAAACTTGTTGGTAGGTATAAAAGCTTACAAATTTGCGTAGTAGTTTATATAGGTAATTTTTTTGTTATAGTATATCATTTGTTTATGTTTATATATTCATGTTATTTAAAGATATAACTCTCCTCGGACGACTCCTTTTTCTCATTTTCCTCCACTGATGGATTGAGTAGTAACGGCAGTTTCCATAGTCTCCCTTCTCTTTCTGAAACCCTTGATTTACATTTCTCAGATGTTCTGAAAAATTTTAATGTTGTTCATATTAATGCTCAGAGTATTCCTGCACATTTTCCAGATATGCTTTCGTCTTTTGATAACAAGAACATCCATGCTATCCTAATCTCCGAAACATGGTTAAAACCTTGTTTATCCTCCACATCTTATGCTCTTCCTGGCTTTCACCTCATACGAAATGATCGGAACAGTAGGGTTGGCGGAGGTGTTGGCATATATCTTCGATCCCACATACCTTTTAACTTGATCAGTGTATCGCAAGAACAGGCTATACCAGGGGCGGAGCATTTATTTATCGAGGTTATGTTATCCAACCTGAAATTACTGCTCGGTGTGTATTATAACCCTAGTCTCACAATAGATTATTTTACAGGACTCGAAAATCTGTTAGACATGTTTATCCCACAATATGAGCACTCGATTATTATGGGTGATTTTAATACTTGCCTGTTAAAAAATGACTCTCATGCATTCCGTCTCAATTCTTTAGTCTATGTAGCAAATCTACATATCCTTCCTCTATCGGCAACGCACAACTTTCCAAATTGTTCTCCATCTCTCCTTGATCTTATTCTAGTTTCCTCAGTAAACTTTGTATTGAAACATGGTCAATGTCCTGCAGATGCCTTTTCTTACCATGATTTGCTATATTTATCCTATAAAATACGCCCACCCAAAGCTAAATCTAGAATTCTTCTCCAACGTAATTTTGGTGGTATGAACCTTGATCTTCTGCGAGAGGATGCATCTCAGATTGACTGGGCTGAAGTCCTTACTGGGGACAATACTGATGAATGGGTTGAAATTTTTAACTCTCTTTTAATGAAGCTTTATGATATCCACGCTCCAATACGCCCAGTAAGAATTAAACATCTTCCTGCTCCTTGGCTAACTGAGGATATAAAAACGCTACAACACAAAAAGGATATAGCCAAAGCTAAATATAAAACCAACGCCAGTGAAACCAACCGCATTAAATACACAAGCATTCGGAATCGATGCAACAGATTGTGTAGAGATGAACAACGACGTCATATCCATAAATCTGTACTCGAGGAAAAAGATTGGGAAAGCAAATAGAAATTGTCCTTCAAATTATAGTACCTTCGATTTAAATAAGCTCAATCAGCATTTTTCCTCATTTTGTACTATTGATAGTACCTTAAAACAGAATACTAAAAATAAAATTTTAGCTTTACCCACCCCTGATGATCCCGCTTTCGTATTTAGTCAAATCGACTGCAGTGATGTTAAGAGAAGTATTATGGAAGCTAACTCTGATGCTGTTGGTTCTGACTGCATTAGTCGTAAAATGATCACTCCTCTTCTCGATTTTCTAGCTCCTGTCATTGTGTCCATCTTTAATCATTCCATCAATAGCGGTTGCTTCCCTACTTCCTGGAAGGATGCACAGATAATTCCTCTTCCTAAAAAAAACGAATCCTTCCAGTTTCTCTGATTATCGGCCTATTTCCATTTTACCATTTCTATCAAAAGTTTTTGAACGCATTGTTCATAAACAATTGACTGTATTTCTTTCCAAATCCAACCTTTTAAATCCGTTTCAATCCGGTTTCCGTTCTGGTCATAGTACGACTACTGCATTAGTAAAAATTACTGATGATATCCGGTTCGGTATGGATAACCAGTGTGTAACAGTATTGACTTTACTAGATTTCAGCAACGCTTTCAATAATGTTGATTATGAGCTACTTTTAGCCATTCTCACTTCTCTAAACATATCTCCTAAGGTCGTTGACTGATTTCACAGTTACTTGCACGGGTGCCGGCAACGGATTAAGATCGAGGAGAAGTATTCGGACTGGAGTCCGATAAATGCCGGGGTACCGCAAGGTGGCGTGTTGTCTCCTCTCCTATTCTCAATCTTCATTAGTTCAATCACTCAACATTTAACTTCTCTCTACCATCTGTATGCTGATGATCTCCAAGTCTACGCTCAATCCAAATTACCAGATTTAACCATGACAATAGATGCAGTTAATAAAGACCTAAACACCATTGTAGAATGGAGCAATTCTTATGGACTGAAGGTAAATCCATCTAAAACACAAGCTATTATTATAGGCAACCAAAGATTGGTTTCACGTATTGACTGGGCTAATCTTCCTTGTATAGTTTTTGACGGGGTCCAATTGCAATATAGCGATACGGTTAAAAATCTAGGTGTTGTGTTTGATAAATTTCTCTCTTGGGTTCCTCAGGTTAGTGAAGTGAGTAGAAGGATGATTGCAGCAGTTAATTGTCTTCGTAGATTGAGTTACTTCTTACCTATACCTACCAAAATTGCGCTCGCGGAATCTCTCCTCTTACCAATTCTAGATTATGCCGATACATGTTACTTAGACTTAAGCGTTGAACAACTTAATAAACTTGAGCGCATCCAAAATCTTTGCATACGGTTCATATTTGGACTTCATAAATATGGCCACATTTCTGAATTCCGAAATAAGCTCAAGTGGCTTCCAATCCGCCTTCGCAGGAATACTCACCTTCTTTCGCTCTTATACTCTGTTCTATTCAATCCAACCACCCCTCCTTATCTTAAGAAGCGATTTGAGTATCTTTGTGATTCTCACCCAGATCGATCTCTCCGCTCCGATGACAATTTAATCCTCAGAATTCCTCCCCATAATACATCTTTCTACTCCAAATCCTTTTCTGTGGAAGCTGTTCGGCTCTGGAACTCTCTCCCACTACATATTAGGCGGGCACAATCCCTACCTATTTTCAAGCGACTTTTAAGAAAACATTTTATGCCTCCTTAATCATTGTGTTCCATTCCTCGATGTTGTCAACTTATATCTAAATACTTATACATTATTTATAACGTATATATTTATATATCGTGTTTGCATGTGTATTTATGTATAATTTATTAATATGTATTTATATTTTGACTTATAAGTTTCTCTTATTAATTCAGTGTACACCGTTACCCAATGCTACTGTTTTTACTATTTCCTTTTACTAGGTTGCCTGGAAGAAATCGCTTCCTAGCGATAAGGCCGCCTATTGTACAGTTTTGTATTATTTTAGTTGATTCTTCAATATCCGTTGATTGTGTACAATAAAGTATATTTCATTCATTCATTCATTCATACTTTCTTTATGTGAGAAGGTAGCAAGCCAGCTGATGGTTCACGTTTGTAACACCCGTTACAGATGTTACCTTTTACAAATTGGACCACGGCTACCTCACTCACTAGAATTAAAAAAAAAATAGAAATAAAATAGAAATATATGACCGCAGAGTTTCTTCTCTTGCAGGTCTAGTTTAGTGAACCGGTGGTAGTTTTTGACGTTCAATGAGAGCTTAAAATAAGCCTATGTTGAATAAAGAAATTTTGACTTTGACTTTGAGAATAAACGCTAAACTATAACTCTTAAACTTCACACCGATTTTCTGTGAGGTTGGTTACATGGCCCTACCACAGTGATTGAATTTATTTTACTTATAAAACATATTTCTACAAGTGCCATTCATCAAATACCATTTAATATTATTGCACGATTTTAAGACTAAAGACTCGATTTGGTTCGCTAAAGATATTGTATTCAAAATCACTTCTCGATATAAGCGATCTCTCTCTTAGTAAGTGCGAGCCAAATTCTTGCCGAAGTATTAGGGGAATTCTTGCAGCGCAAACAAAAATACGGTTACATGACAATTAGTTCCGTACAAAAAAAAAACACTAAAGGGCCAATCTTCCTCTCCAAAAGATAAGCGAGGGTAATCACTATTGAACTAAAAAAAAACATGTTCAAATTAAAAGGGTGAATTAATAAAGCGGCTCAAAGAAATTTGCTTTATGCACCGCCGTAATCGCTCGTCGAGCCGAAAGGTAAAAATAAATAGACAGGAGAGCTTTGTATTTAATATAATATCGCTTTTTAATATTAAGCTGAATACAAAACGAATGATGGGGAAGTACTTTAGTAAACTATGAATACGATATAACAATGTTGTTTCGGTAATCTCTTTCGTATGTGTATTTCTTTATAGGATAGCGAAAAGATTGAATTTAAATATTAAATTATCTAAGCTCTTTTTAGGAAGTGTTTTCCTTTGCAAATACTTATATAACGAGTTTTTAGTATTTGAGTCCACTTGTTATGCGTCGGTTTTTGTTGCAATGTAATTCTACTAAACCTTGACTGTGATGGGGCCAACACATCTGCAACCCTACGGGTTTGCAAAGATCCATTGGTGGCGCTTGTCACTAAACATCATGTGAACCACCACCTCGCTTGCCATCTTGTCACATAAGAAGGCGAAAATAATCAAACAAAACAAATAAAATTTTAAGTAATAAATCGTGTTTTATTTCACGGTTTAAAAATACTGTAACTCATAAAGTTTCTGTGATTTAAAGTTCAGTTCAATAGTTTGATATTTTTGTAAACATCATATTTAGAAATTTTATACCAAACTATATTCTTATGTCTTTACTTTATAGTTAACTTAGAGATTTTCCGATAATAGATAGAAGTTTGATAGATCCACAACAAAACTCTTGATTACAACTAGATTTAACAGATCTAATTAAGCTGTACAAACCAATGTTTGCATTTAATTACTGCCTGTATTAAAACATAACCTGTGATTTAATTTTGTCATATCGAAGAGCAACTGGGAAACGAGGAGGTTTAGGGGAACCAGTGACCAATGTCAATTATCTACATTTATTATCTGTAGACAACGGCTCCGATTACTACGGCTCGTTTAGTAGAACTCGCCGTCTGACAACTTTATCGCGTAAAGGTGCAAGGCGCGGAACTCGCAGAACTGGTTTGTGCACCAGCCCCCGTGGCCATCTGTGCAACGGCAGGAGTCGCACTCATCCATGTACTTCTCGCCAGGGATGCATTTGAAGAACGGATTCTTGATCACTGCGACGACGAGGAACAGTAATAATGTGCGTATGAACATTCGATGATGGTGTCAGCCCTGACTAAGTACTATCATGCCTGTTGTAACGTAGCATTTAATCTCAAAACAACTGTGATAGGGTCATGCACCAGCTTTTGGTGTTGTGCTTACCGCGGTAGGCCTACACAACAGCTTCTACTTTTGCACGAATGGGCAGACTGGTAAGGGGAATTACCACGACCTCCAGAAGACCAGCGTGAAGTGGGAGTAGTACACTTTCGCGTTTCGTCTGGTGAGTCAGGTAACACACTTAGCATCAGGTTAACCGCCTGCTCGCTTGTCAACTTTTCACTTTAAAAAAATGATGTTGTCTTAGATCCAGTCTCAATTAGAAAACTTTACTGACACGAATATAAGCAACTATAAGCATTTATAAAGAAAAACCTTTTTCAACCTTACAAATTTCCATACGACATGAAGCTAAAAAATTTATTTCTGAATTAAAAAAAAATACCATTCTATTTTGAATTTCGAATTGCATAAAATTGTCACAGTTTTGTCTATAATTATACTTATCACTTAAACTATTTTTGCTATTGTTTTTATTATAGAAGAGGTTAACAGCAAAAGAGTGCCAAATTTAATTTCCGCCTTATCGCTTTATCGCCACGACACCAGTCTTTAGGCTGAACACAGGCGTCCCACACAGACTGCTACGAAGCACGACCCCTAGCCACCTGCATCCATCGACTTCCTTCACGCCATCTAGTGGAGGTGACAATGCAATGGCCAGTACGAGTACGTACCAGTGCACCGCAAACAGGGGGTGCTCCTCTCGCAGAGTGCCGTGACCGTAGGCTCGCAGTAAACGCATGAGGGCATCGACCTACAGGCCCCCGAATCCTGCGCCTCGCATAGGAGACAATTGCGCGTTTCGGGCACCAGGGCGAGCGACGTCTCCTCCTCCCAGTACTGGTGCGGCGGCTTCGGCTTTATGAACTGGGACACCACGTAGCTGTTGGAGAGGTTTTCGGTAAGGATCACGCATCTCCGTAGCCTCGTAACTAGTCACGTAGCACCTCAAGCATTTGTTGCAACGGGTTATAAATTAGATTAATATAAGAGTTTTTTTTTTACTTATGCAATCATTACTTGTGTATATTCATTTATTTATTTATTTTATTGCAGATACGTAAGATGTAGGGACACCGTTCTATGCATGCCATTCTTTTTTTTAAATAAAAAAATATAATAATTTAATGATTAATATAAATCATTATTATTTTAAACACTTGAAAAACTCATATAACATAAAAGATATATCTTTATAATTTCACATTATAAAGATGTATCTCTTGCTAAATACCTAAGCAAACGATTATTTATTAGAAAAATATTACCAGAATAATAAAATATTATTAATTATATATGGCTTAACGAAACTTAACAAACAATTATAATTATGTCAACGAAGTTCTCCAGGAAATATGAATAATAACGTGTTCCCCTACACAAAATATATCTTATGGGCAAAATTCTTACAAATTGGCATAGCAATAACGCCATGAGTGTTGTGAATACGCTATGGGGGTGGTCACTTACCATCCACCGTTCGTACATTTGCCCTCTTCCCTATAAAGAAACCTTTCTTACGCTTGGGAGCCAGGGCGAAAGATGGGCGGCGAATGTTCCACGTTACCCACAGAGCTTAGAGTGCCAGCCGCGGGGCCCGACCGCCTCGGCTCTGCAAACAAAGTACACATAACTAATAGCCACCTGATAAAAATACGAAAAATTAATATATAAATATACTTATTTTTCATATTAGTGATGACTTTACTATAGGGTCTCCTGTGCTTTACAAACGTACATACACAAGTTTCGCGTGGACATATATATCGTCCAAAGAACTGATGACCGCTGTGGAGTAATAAAAGTTCACAAGTGTTGATCACGAAACGGAAGAGTGGGGTTCATTATGAAATCGTACTTAGTTAACCACCGGACATTCTCTTATTTTGAAGAAAACAATAACTTAAAATTTTCTCCACAATAGCACCTTTGCGTACGACAGGGATCCCTCTCTTTTCATAAGAAATGGCTACGTATAAAGCGCATCGCATTTTGCTGGATTTTAATTCTGTGCTTATATGTAAATTTTTATGTAAAATAAAAGATATTTAATTAAAGATTTAAGATATTAAAAAAAATAAAGATATTTCGAGATTGAGTTTGTGTAAATAGCCTTCGGTCGTATTCAAAAAGCGCCTTGGATATGCTATACTGCGATACAATACCGGACACGAATGTAAAAAAACGATTGTCACGTTTAGAAAACTTTTTTATGTGAAAAGTTGTCAAGCCAGCATGCGGTTCACATGATGTTGAATGAATACCGCCTCATGGACATGAACAACACACAATGGCTTGCTGATTGCTTTGACAACCTTAAAAAATTGTCTACCACACTCAAAAGACGAAACTCGAATTTTTAATACTTCCGGTCTTCTGATAGGTGCCGGGGTACTTTCCTGAAAGAGCCTGACCATTCGTGCAACAGCAGAAGCTGTTGCGTGGCCCTACCACAGTAAGTAGGCAACATTAACAATAATACAGCCAAGATAAACCAGTAAACCTACCACAGTAATGACGCAACATTAACAACAATATAGCCAAGATAAACCAGTAGACCTACCACAGTAAGTACGCAACATTAACAAGAATATAGCCAAGATAAACCAGTGGCCCTACCACAGTAGACACTTGATATTAATAACAATAAGGCCAGGCTGATTAACACAATGTACAAACCATCCCCGTAAGCGCAGACGGTAATGAGCAAACACACTCGAATCAACACCACCAGCCGATACATGGCGCTGGATGCGCCGCGGGATCGCCTCACTCGATTGCCGACGCTGAGCCCGCCGTTGCTAATTGAGCCGCGACGCCAATTACACCGATTGGCTGAAACTGTGCAACCAATGTACAGGATGTTCCGTTTCTCTCGGTGTATTTCGTAAAATAAGTGCTTAGTGTATTCGAAATGAAAATGTTTACATCTCGTAATATACGTTCTCATGAAAGTTACAGCGCCAACGTAGTAGATGATAATAAATGGATAATAAAAGGATAATAAAAGGATGCAACATAAACTCAAAAATGTTCGTTTATACTTTTACTGCATACGTGCGTTTTATACTTTTATTTCATCTATGTAACGGCTTTTTATATATATTGCATGAATATTTTCAAACAAGTTTCAAAATTATTTTTAAATCCTACCAAATCCATATCATTAATTCTCTTAAGAATTAACAGTGGACATAGGTACCATAGACATACGCAATAATTCCCAGATTGCTGAAACGTCAATGTTCACGAGGTTTGGCATTTGTTTACCACAATATCGTATACTAAATAAAAACAAAGAAGATGAGACATAGAGATTTTCGCGTGTCGAGGATTTCGAGCTTAGGGATTGAAGCGTTTGGCCGCGTAATGTGGAAGGTGTAACTTCGAATCTACTAACATCGGCGAAAAAAATTTTCAACAATTTATCTATACATATCACGTATCATCTACAATAAGAGACTAGCACTAAAATTAAAGATTAAATCATAATATCGTAATTTAGGCCGTGATACTTTCTGAGTAAAACCAGTCATTAGTGAAGCTGCATGTCTCATATAAGCATAATATGGGAAAGAGTAATAATGGTTTTAACTCACCCTTAAAATGTCTTAAATACTCATGGGCAACAAATCTTCAATTTGCTCAATGAAGATGTTCCTAAGAAGAACGCAAATTATGTATCAAATTCACCACTACGTAAGTTATAGTCACCAGTAATCTCATAAATGTGTATTTCACGCAAAAAGATCTGTTTCGATTTGGTTAATAAGGTTAAGATAAATTAAATTTGTATGGAACCTACGTATGTTACAATTACAATTAAAATTAGATTAAAACTGCAACATCATCCTTCCTTAATATTGTAAAGGCGAAAGTATGTATGTATGGATGGATGTTTGTTACTCTTTCACGCAAACACTACTGAATGGTTTTAATGAAACTTTACAATAATCTAGCTTGTACGTGAGAATAAGACATAGGCTATAATTTATATATTTTACGTATATCTGTTTTTCTGTCTGAATTTCACGCCTTAAAACCTATTCTACGCAGACGTAGTCGCGAGCAGCAGCTTGTGTTGAATAGATACACTTACAGTAAGCTAATGATTCGTATCAACATAATATCACAATTCAAATTCAATTATTTACCTTAATTTTAGAGCACCCTGTGCAAGCTACACACCGACGCCAATTAACAACGTATGCAACAGAGTATCGGACTCTTTACTACCGTTTGCCTATTAGCAAAACAAGTAAACATGGCCGAGTAATCCACAATTAAAACAACGATCGCTATCAGTTCGCGGTATTTAAGCGCATGTTAAGAAACTATTTTACGTATTTTATCACGTTTAATTTTGAGAAAGACGGAGGGATCGTGTTCCCTCATTTTTTATTTTCATTTTGTTTATTTAACATGCTCTCTCTTTAGGATAACGTTATCCTGTGTTGTATGGGCGTTTTACAAACATAAATTTCACGTGGACAAACATCCCAGAAACAACTATATGTGGTTCACATAAATAGTTGTTTCATATAGAACCCATGACCCTCGACACCAAAGCTAAACCTTGGCTACTGCACTACGGAGTCATCATCTTTCGTATTTAGGTTTTTTTTTCGATCTGAAATAAATTCAAATGGTATTTTGAGATTGATTACATTGATTCATGACCCTTGAATTTTATTAATTTTCGAGAGATGTTTCATATATTCATATAACGGTTGGACTCATTAAAGACTGTCAAACGTATTTTGTAAGCATTGTAGTAGGGAAAGACATCATTAACTCGTCTTGTACAGGTGTTTTATAAACACAAATTAAACAAACTCTCCCCACACTAGCAGCGATTATCTAAAAGTCAATAAAATGCGTGTCACGAGGCAATCGCACCTTGCCGAACACATATTAAATTAGTGATATTTTTCTTGTTTCATTATTTAACTCTAATATTCGTATGCGTCTAAAAATGCGCATTATGCCTATTCACCTCTAATTCTTCGTAACTTATCGAATAAAACTTAAAAATTTGATTTTCTAAATCAAGATTCGAACCTGTCAATTCGTTTCTACCTTCCGGATTACGCCATACGCTCTAGCTACTGTAAATATAAACGTTAATCCAATTTTTACTATAGATATTAACCGTATTTTACTAAGATATTAAATAAATACCAGACAAACGTTAATTTGTCTCTGAATAAGGGTGAGCAAGATAAATCTTAGTCACCCTTCTAAAATTTACGACTTTAATCCGAGCAAAAGTTAAACCGTTGTCCTTAATACCAACAAAAGATAAGATACGTCCAGCAATAATCGAATGAGGCGATAGTTGTGACCGGTAAACGTCAGCTGGAAGCTCCCACGCTTGATTGATAGCCCGCTAATAACATTTTATTGCGCGTTATTGCATTATTGTTAACCGGGTGACGCGACAGGCCTATCGGTTAATGGGGCCCATTATGGCTTTGCGCGATAAACTAGAGATTACGCTCGCAATAAACGCTCGAAGTCAGAGACACTGCCTTGTCGTAGGCATATTGCTTTAGAGCTGTAATTGATTAGGTGTTAGTTAACTCTTAACAGTTACTTGTTTTTTTCATAGTAGTAGCTAGTCTAAATAAATAACTATTTTTTAGGATATATTTTTACGCAATGCTATCTAGATCGATATTATATCGAAGACTGTTGCACGGCCCTACCACATTTCAACTATACAATTACCGGTATATTCATCTCGATAATTGCAATGATAAAATGTGATGCAACATTATTCATGACCAACATATCGTAAACTTTTCTTCTATTACACTTTTAGGTGTGACTCTGTGAACCAAATCATCAACCTAGATATCTTCACATATGATATGATAGCATAAAGTCGATTCACTAGAAGTATATTCTCTCAATTATTATTGTTAATCACTAGCAGTTTCGTCTAAATTGTGAAAGCAAAATGGCTATAAAAGTTGAAATTTTATTTCTTATAGATTTTTTGCAGTCACGCTTTTTATTATGAACTTAAGCCCGCGACTTGTCCCCGAAGATCTGGTACTATTACTAATTCTATAATTAAAATGAGTACTTAAATTTCATATACTTACTATTAGTATTCATACCTTCAGAACCCAATATATAGAATTTTAACAAACACGAATTTAAATTTAAATCATGTTATGTTTGGTAAACTATTATTTTTATTGAAATGCGTGAAATCGTTCCTATACAAAAAAAAACACTTTCACAAAAACAGACGCTCCAAAAGTCTTAAAACGATCATTAGGCATTGAATGATTAGACGTTTTCACTTAAATTTGGATATTTATTTCGAAATCAGACACAGAAATTTCAGTTTCATTGTTTTCATAAATAATTCCTACCCTAAACCTCTCATTTTAACAACAAAACATTCAAAAGGTGTTTAATAAAGGCAGTAGATACAAAGCAGGTGTAATTATCCCCAAATTACACACCATTTTTGATATCTTCTATCTAATATGGACTGTAATCAGTGTTAAACAACTGTTAGACTACACGCTTGACGAGCATTGGCTACACTGTGTTCGCGTTCGAAAATAAATCATATTGCTTTGAAGTAAAGACCAAAATAAGTTCATTGTAACACTAACATTTATTGATAGACCATAACAGGATGAACTGAAACTCTCAATGAATTATATTCATGGAGGAGGACGTTCTCAATTCAACTTTATTTTTTTATGTTTCTTGCCTCAGAACTTTAATGATTCTTTTTTTATTTCTTAGCTGGTGTTTCCAATGTGGTCCCATACTAATTTCATTTGTATTGGATCTCGGGCTCCGGAGATACGTAGGGAACTCCTGAAAAGCAATTATAAAATTAATACAGAGCGAAATATTTGAAGTCGGTTTGTTTTGTTTTTTCTAAAATCTAGGTTGATTCAAGTTTCTAAATTTCTTAATCGTAATTTGTATGTGTACGTTAGATTTTTTAATATACCGCTGCTTATAAAAAACATCGTAAATGAAATATATGAAAAAATAAACATAAATGTTATCAACAGTTTCGCACACCAATAACTAATGTATCGTATCGCTAGCACGTACAATATTCAAACACTCGAAAAATAAATTAATCATTTCAGGTCACATACAATTCAAATCCTGTTTAAAGCTTCGCAAGTGAGCTATAGAATATAATCCGACAAAAATTAAATGTTACCTTTAATATTTTCCATACTCGGAGAGCCTTAGCTCTAAAGTAATATGCCTACGACAAGGCAGTGTCTCTGACATCTGCGCATTGTTGCCACGCTAATTACAGCGATCAGCTCATTAGCCCCTGCCCCCACCCTCCTCCACCCCTATCCCCTTACCTACCCCCCAGTAAACGCATTGTTATGTTTCTCAATTGAGACAAAACGGCAGTACCGGGTTCATTACAGAGCAGATATTATGACGTCATCGCGGGTGGCAGCCAGCGAATTAACCCGAGCCGAGTGTACGCGACAGTACCGAGATGGCGCCGGTTTTTATAAGCTTTTTTAAATTGCGATTTTTTTTACATAACGCAAACGATCTCTGTGCCTGACTGTACTTTAGTTTTTTATTGGAAATGATTGTTCTGTGAAAAGCACAGTCACGGAATAGATGTTTAATTTATTTTAAGGAAGAAGTTGGCCAACGAATAGGCGGTTCACCTCATGGAGATTAACATCACCCGTAAGGTTGTAGTTGCGGTACCAAACTTTAAAGGAG